CTCTCTCTCTCTCTCTCTCTCTCTCTCTCTCTCTCTCTCTCTCTCTCTCTCTCTCTCTCTCTCTCTCTCTCTCTCTCTCTCTCTCTTCCCTCGCTCTCGCTCTCTCTCGCTCTCTCGCTCTCTCACTCGCGCCCCACGGAGTACCTGGAACTGCCGGCGATCGGATGGTTCGTTTAAGGAGAGGGAAATAGAACCTGTCTTGTGGATCGGCGAGGGAATCTTGGGCAAGGCCTGCAGTGGATACAGCTTACATTGGAGTCGTCGAGCTGCCTTGACCATATGTGCTGATCCTAAGTTGGTAGTCAGCGAGCTCGCTTGCAGCGAGCTTGCTTGCAATTACACCTGCGGTCGTATAGCTTGTACCCCTGTATCGCGTCGGCGGGTGATGGTGGTAAGACTACGGTTGTACGAAAGTGAGTGGTAACGTATTATACGGAGCGTGTACGGGCATACAGTTGAGCGCGTTACGAAGGTGCAGTTGAGAGTACGGCAAAAAGAGGGGCTGGCCTATCGGTGGTAGTTTTTCCCGCTTAGTGTTTGCAGGCGATGGGATGACTAGGTGAGTCGGAGTGACGGGTCGTTGCGTGTTGATCTGAGGTACGGAGGAACAGCTGAGTGGGTAACAGTAAGTGAGTAGGAACAGACAGAGTTTCTGAACGGTAGGAATGGAGCTTCAACTGATGATATGTATGATAGCTATGTGAGCAACAGATGAGCTGCGACGTGTTGATTTGTTGGTGAACCGGAAATATTAGTTAATGAGAGGACCCGGTGTGTCCAGTAGGAGAGGTGAGCAACTACTGGCACGAACGTATCACCTGCGATCCGAGATGCGTGTTACCAGAAGACTACAGCGATTGAGTGTCTAGCTCATGAGAGCAAGGTGAGTGTGATCTGCAAATTGACGTGGAATTATTGGGTAAGACTTGTAGCAGTGGGTCTGCTTTATGTGAAAGAAGTGAACTAGTGTGAGGGCGGGTGTGGACCTTAACGTGTGGAGTATGGGCAAGGTGGTTGAGTCTGGTAGCTGCAAGCGCTGTAGGTGAAGTTGAGGAAGCGGATGACCCGTGTTTGAGGTGGTAAGGATGGTTTGGAGAGATGTGCGGAGTGAGCGTAGTGATGTGGTAATAGTAGAGGTAGTGGAGTAAAGGCCGGTGGGGGCGAGTTAGAGGTTTTGTGAAGTTGGGTGAGCTGTTGTGCCAGCTAAGTGTGGGTTTTCAGTAGGGGTTGTCAGCTAACATCGCCCTGAGGTGAGCGTCCAGGGGTGGGAGCTGCTGTCGGAGTCGTGCAATGACGCTCGTGAACCAGAAAGTGCTGCAGGTGTGGTGAACGTTGGTTACCGATGTATCCCCCACCGAGTACGCCGAGCTCGCATCCGCCTGGTTATGCACGATCGGCACATACGCCTGGCCCATCCTCACCTCCTCACCCCCCGCCCCCTCCCCCACCTGCAGGGCCGGGAGGGTCGTGCTTTAGCTGCAGTATGGGCATTTCTCGCGAGACTGCCCACACAAGCAGATTGGGAGAGTTTGGCAGGCCCAAGGCCGGGGGAGCTATGGACCAGGTGGCACGGGCAGGGAGCTTACAACCAACCAAGGAGGAAGGAGGAGGAGGATCGGTTGAACAGGCTGCTCTCGTTTGTTGAGAACCAGCAGAGGGAAGCAGCAGAGAAGAAGAAAGTGGAACAGGAGAAGAAGCAGCAGGAGGAAGAAAGACAGAGGTTGGAAGAAGCGAAACAGAGGGAGGAAGCTGAAAGATGAAGGGCGCAGCAATTATGGAGTCTACGCCTGCGCAAGCTTTCGCCAAACAGATGGCGGTCCTAGAGGAGAAAATCAAGGACCACGTACAATCCACGCTTAGTGCGTCAGAGGAGAAGAGTGCGAGGCTTCACGATAGTTTGCTGAGGTTTCTGGAGCGTGCAGATGGGGATGTACTGAGGCGGACCAGAGAGGAGCCATATCTGAACCCAAGAAGGAGGCTCGACCTGGATGACTATGAGAGGGGAGGTGACACTGGAGTAAGGAATGCTGCTGCACCGGCTACTAAGAGACGGACAGTGGTAACAACCAAAGGGAAGGAACCAGTGGACACAGAGGCAAGGAAGAAAGGAGCAGTAGCTTCGTGTTCCAAGCAAGGGGTGATTGATTTTGCTCTTGAGGTGCGAGGGAGTTTACAAGCAAAGCAAGCTCTTGAGCTCAAGCTACTATGTAAGAGGAAGAACATCACGTGGGTGTCGAAGGCACAGGCGGTTAAAGACCTGGCGGCAGCAGAGACTAGGGAGGCGTACGATGGTTGGCTTACCGGGGCTGATGACGGCGAGGGTAGGAAGGAGGACAGGGTGGCAGATGGAGATGTGGAGCCCCATGCAGATTGACGGTGCGCCCCCCCAGCGCGGTACCTCTGGGGCAAGCTCCTAATGTACATGGGGCTTCGAGAGAGCGTCTGGGGGACGTATGGCTTGACGAATCTCAGGATCAGCATTGAGCAAATGCTCATTGCGACATTTCTTTTGCTGGTGTTGAGTGGAGTGGCCCCTTGGGCGAAAAAGTTGCTAACGGTGACCCCTACGGGCCACGACTTCTTCGACCTAAGGGGACCGGCGGTTTATTGCTTATTGTCACCCTGGTGCAAGAGGATGTACATTGGCCAGACTGTCCGAGGAGCTGGTGAAAGGTGGTGGGAGCACATTCGGTGCACAGAATCAGGCAACAACGGCTATGCCCCCAAAGCTGTACTCCTTCTTGAAAGTCTTTGGCTGGCAGAAGTATCTCGTCCTCCTGATAGCAACACACACAGCACCACTGTATCATGGACCTTCCTCTTCCTGATCCGATGCCTGTACTTTACACCCACATTGATATTCAGCCTGATATTCACCCCAGTCTTCTTCCTGATCACTGCCGCTACCTTCTCCTTTAGAGTCCTCCGAGTAGCCTTGGTCTTGAACTCCCTAGCACATCGGTACAAGAAAACCAGCTTTGATACATCAAAGAACTTGAGCTCCGCTTGCTTCCTCGGCATCTCCAGCAACAGCCTAAGATACCCTTTCCCTCTGCATCGCGCACTCTCGGTCTTCACCACCGGTGCCACTCTGAATCTGCCTCCTTTCTTAAGGCGCTACTTCGCCCTCCCCAATGGTAACTTCACCTCATTATCGGAAATTGTCGACATACCAAACTTCCTTCGGACGACTGACCACTTTTCTCCCCACACCTCACCACCGGACGACTCAAGCCTCACTGCCCTCATCCCTGCTTCGTAAGTGTCTTCCAACAGCTCAACTAGGCTGAAGTACTTTTTCCCTGCTCTATCAGTGTGCTAAAGACGGTATTGCAGCGTCGCGTGAGGGTGGTGTGGAAGAAGAATAACACGGTTGAGCAGGTTCTCACCAACCATCGGGAGGCAGCAAGAGAAGGTGTATGGAGATGTACGTGTGGCCAGGATCAGCTGCCGAGAGAGGAAGGGCATGTGTTGGCTCGAGTCGCGCAATGTTCAGTGGTTCCCCCGTTTATGCACAATGGTAAAAATGTGCTGCAAAGCGATGGTGAGACAAGACCGACAGAGGTGCAGCAAGCTATTGGACGAGCCTTGGGTGCAGTCATGAGTAGAGATTTGTACCAAGTAGCTGACCTGAGTGATTTACAAGAGATAGTCTCGGGTCGAGCAAAAACCAGGACTGCTTTCTCCGAGAAGCAAGTGAGGGTGCTAGCGACAAAGTTGGGCCACCTGGTTGTAACCCCGATAGACAGGAACCCAGGTGACCTTGTGGTCATGTGCCCCTCGACGTACTTTCATGCCCTCCAGATGATGTTCAATCTCAACGTCGCTTACCAACGAGAGCTGAGGATGACTGAGGATGAGGTGCTAGCTCAGGTGAAGACGGAGTACAAGAAATTGGCCCTTGACAAAGTAGGGGCCTGGAACCCGGCGGCCAAGCTTGGAAGCGTATGTCCTACCGAAGCATAAGGATCTGACAAGGTGGAGGCCCATTGCACCGGCTAATGCGGAAGGTTCCAGGACCGCGCGGAGGAGGTTAGCACGGGCGCTGAACTTCCTACTTGAAAGGGTCCCCAAAGCCAAACACTTCAATCAGAAGGCTACGGCGTTGCTGAAGCAGAACTTGGAGAGAGCTGGAAGGAGAATTAGTGTTTTCGGTGGGAGGTCGATGGCTTTAATGGCTAGCTTTGACATCAAGGAGATGTTCACGTCGCTGCCGCACGATGCAATTGAGCGAGCAGTTGATTGGCTGCTACAACAATGGGAATTAAACGAGGTGTTCAAGCTAAGCCTGAGCAGACGTGGGAGGGTTGTATCCGTGAACCGGAAAAGCCCTGGGCCAGGCTTTGTTACATTTAAGTTCTCCCAGATCCGTCAAATGGTAGGTTATGAACTGAGAAATACGTACATTATGTGTGCGAAGACGATTCTCAAGCAAGTTATGGGGATCCCCATGGGGAAGAACTCCAGCCCCTCGCTAGCTTGTGTATTGTGCGCAAAGCAAGAGATGGACTTCTTGAGCTCGCTGGGGGCGGATCAGAAGCTTGTACATGGGGCCAGATTGGTAGATGACGTCACGCTGGTGGTTGCATGTGACATGGGTGACCTTCGGAGCGTTGCGACAGCAAAGAGCATTTGCCAGAAGTTTGAGAAGACGTACGGGGAGCAGCTCACGCTAGTAAGGACAGATGACGGATCCAACTCTTGGGACTTCTTGGGGACCAGGGCTACAGCATTGCCGGGTCCGATCACGTTCGTCATCCGCCCCAAGCATAAGAATGAAGGGGCCGAGCTAGGAGACCCCCTAGCCTTTAGATGCTTCTAAGACTTTGCGTCTTATTCAGATAAGGGAGTGAAAGCGGGTACGGTGATTGCGGCACTACACAGGATCAGGCATCATGCCAGCGACCCAGCGACAGGAGTCCCGGCAACGCTTTCCATCAGTATAGAGTTGGGGCGCCGGGGGTATCCCCCGGCGCTTTTTTCCAATGCTCTGGCGGTATTTGCCAGAGCCACCGGCCCGTTCGGGGCAGCGTTGAAGACACTGACCGAGGGGCCGGCCAGGTTACTAAGTAATGAACCATCAGGAGGTAAGGGTGAAGGTTAGCTAGTTACGGAGCCTATGCACAGTAGGGAAAGTAGGTAGAAAGGGAGCAAAGGGTAGATAGTCGGTCCAGCAGGATACGGCAAGGCTGTACAATAGACAAACATGGGAGCAAGATATAGTGCGAGTGGAAGCAAGGGCAGTGGTGCGGAATAAGGGAGAGAGAGGGGTTTAGCCCGAAGGGACTGGGTTGTACATTAGTTAGATTAGGGGAACCCGGTCCTGAGCGACGTCAACCGGGCTGTATAGTATCGCCCTCAGGAAGCTGGGCCTAGGTAGTAGGGTGAGAGGGGGGCCGGTAGGGCCCAGAGTAGAGTCACCGGGGCCAGTAGTGTCGGGACCGGTTAGATAATGTGGATGTTTCAGACTAGCAGGTACCAATCACGAGAAACAGGCCTGGTGCAGAGGCGGGTGAAGCCGGATCAGCCAGATTCGCAACGTAGGCCCCTACAGCTGGCCGGTACACGTGCAGTGTCAAACAACCTGGCGCAACGGGAAGCGCACACGTGAGGTCGACGGGAAAATGGGGTGAACGTGCGTGCTTGCCAGGTCAGTTGCAAACGAGCCACGTCGAACTCCGCCCAGTCAGTTGCAGATGTGGAGTGAGTGTCTGTATATCTTTAGAGGGCAAGGCCAGAATGGCCCTCTTTGCTCTGGGTTGGCTTGTCTTGGTGGATGCGGGAGTGTGGTTACCCCTTGATAAGTCCTGGTGCGCAGCCAGGCGAAACGCGTCGGGGAATGTGCGCGTGGAGCAGTTCGTTCGTGCAGGAGCTTCATTGAACTCAGTTGAGACATGGACGCATAGCGATTGGCCTCGCTATTTCACTTCATTTCACTTCTTCTTCTTCTATGAGAGAGAGAGAGAGAGAGAGAGAGAGAGAGAGAGA